CTCTCAGACTGAAGAAGTCTCTTGGAAGAGAGACGAAACGTTTCATTAAAGAAGAACCCGTCCAGAGGACCTATACAATTTTTTGTTTTTGTTTTTTTCCATGGAAGAGAATTGTATTTTGATCTGGTTGACTTTCAACACTCAGACGATACTTTTTTTTTTTARCCCCAGTTTGTTGCCATTTTTGCTTTATTGTTTTTATTTAACCTATTGATTTGGTCGAATCATGAAGGTCAGAGTGTCAGGAATTAAGGAACTTGAGGTACATAGAAGGAAGTTTTGGTGAAAGATCACAATAAATCCACACAGCAAAAGTAAGACAAATATATTTAAAGGGCAACAATTCAATTCTTAGACAATTCAATTAAACAGAAAAAGTCTAATCGCTTGTGGGGTTGCAGGAAACAAATCAAAATTTCAGCTTTAAAAAAAGGGGAATTGTAAGAATCTGCAATGAGTCAGTGATGAAATCAAATTGAAAGCTTACAGAACATGAACATGTTTTTTTTTATTTTTGATTTTTGATTTTGCAGCTTAAAGATGGCTTGTTTCACCTGGGTAGAGAGCTCCTTTGTCCGCATATTTTCTTCACAGCAAAAATTTACAAATGCAAGCACCCCGCCTCAGATCAACTCCAGGCTTTTTATCTGTTTTATTGAGAAAGACATAATGAAGGAACTGTCTGCACCTGCCCATAAAACAGCATTTGAGTGAATTGTTTAATTACTTTTGGTCCCATTAAAACCAGGGATGGCACATGTTAAGAAGCTGAACTCCTAAAGCACTCACCCAGTTTTAATGTGGATACCCTCAAATGAGAGCTGAAAGTCTGGGCTTTATGTGCATGTTCATTGTAAAACTATAACTTTAACATGTTTCAGTAAATAGGTAAAAAAAACAACAACAACCAATAAATAAATAACAAATAAATAAATAAATAAATAAATCTTTGCATCAATATCCAAGTAGATATGGACCTATCAGGCCCGTTTTTTTTTTTTTTACCCAGAGGGAGACACACATCCTGTGTCTGAACAGGCTTACATATGATTTTACCCATGCCAAAAATTAAAAATAAATAAATAAATAAACAAACAAACAAACAAATAAATAAATAAATAAATAAAGCCATGTCAAGTGAAAATAAATAAATAAACAAGTCTAACTTTAATTCCTCCAGAGTGGAAAATGTTTAATAGGATGTCTCAATCTTAAGCACTTTTTTCTGGCTTAAAAGAGGTTGACCTGATGCACAGTTTAGGTTCCAGGGTTTGGAAGATCAGACGCGGGTGATAGGTGAGGAGATGAGAATGGTGGGGGACGACACACTAGACCCTTTCCCATCTATCATAGTCCACAGTTTGACTCACCAAATGCCTGTAGTTGAGCTGCCTCTTCCATTATTCATGGCTACAGGAGGCCTGGATGAAGCAGAGCTTTTTATTTTAGCCAGGTTAATAATTCATGCCCTCTCTTACAGCCACGGGAAAGCAGAAACAGAGGCGCAGATGAGCAGGGGTCCAGGTGGCTAGTAGAACCCGTCAGAACCTTGACTCCTTTATTGATTAGAGAGTCAGCGGGGGTCGCTCCATGCTCATGGCCTGACTGCCTCCCACAGAGAGCCGGCAAGGGATGCCTAGTGTTTGCTAGAGGGCTCTGGACTGGAACTTCCTGGACACTTAACATCTATGGGATGAACAGAAGGGCTGTCTGAAAAAGGAGCCCAGGGCCTCTAGTGTACTGCTGATGTAGTGGCTCTTTCTGTGGAGTCTTAGCTGGAGAGCCTCAATTTGCAGCAAGTAAAATCTGAAGACATGATGTGGAACAAAATAAAAATGTAAAAAAAAAGCAAATGTGTGGGGGCCTTCAAGAAGCAACCTCAGGCTGATAATACTTATTTGACAAAAAGACTTGGACATTTCCTTTAGATGTTTGCTTGTGTGCAGGTGCTAAAACACAGCTCAGCCCTTGAGACAATTTGTTCATGACCAGGTTTAGGAGGATTAGAGACAAGTTCTGGACACATGCATCAAGCATGAAAAGAATGCTGCTGCACACTTTTTTTGAACAGGTTTGAAACTCAAGCTTCCAGTCTGAGAAACTTTGTGACTCATGCGAATAAACTGAGAACCGCCACAAACACTGCAAGATGTTCCAGAGACTCATGAATGTTCATTATTTTGTTGTAGCCCAATGAGATAAGGTTCCTTCACTTGCTCGTTTTCATCATGATATCAGTACCAGAGGAACAAGCAAAACCAACTTAGTGTGCTGAATCTAAATAAGATTTTATAAATCKACCCCAAGGTGAGCATCTTTACAAAGGAAAGCATATAGAAAACTATGATACATAAATCAATACATCATACATCAATGACCTTTCGAAGTTTTGCCATGATCTAGAAGTCCAGTTATATGCAGACGACACTGCTCTGTACACACATGCTAAAACGGCTCAGCTTGCGGCTGAGAAATTAACCAAAGCTTTGGAGGGAGTGGTTGACTAGTTAAATCAATTCTGTCTGACTTTAAACGTAAAGAAAGCAAAAAGTATGTTTTTTCTCTAAGACTAAATTGGACACCTCAAATTTAAACATTTATATCGAGGGTAAACAAATTGATACTGTGACTGAGTTCAAGTATGTTGGAGTTTTTTTGGATTCAAACCTCAACTAAAAGAAGCATATTTAAAAAAAATGACATAAAACTGTTAGATATAACTTGGTCAATTTTAGACATTTTAGATCTTGTTTGTCGTTGGAAGTGGCCAAGATATTAATGCACTAATTTTTTCACACATTTCATATTGTATTTCGAACCAAACAATTTGACTGTAATAAAACCTGTTGAGTCTTGTTACAAACAGGCCCTCAAAATATTTGACAACAAGCCTTTAAGATACCATCATTGTCAGATTGTGCAGAAATATAACTTGTTTTCTTTTGAGAATTTTAGAGTTTTTTCAAATATGGAAACAGTATATAAAATTTTAAACGGTTTAGCGCGAATCTGTTTGCAAAAATTTGTTTATTATCATTCAGCTGTTTCTTTGTGGCTAACCAGAACATCCAGACAGAACTGTGAAGTTCCTTCTCGACGATCAGCCTTTGGACAAGCAGCTTTTTTGGTTAAAGTCATCGCTCAGTGGAATGCTGCTCCTGATCATGTAAAAACTTGTAGTTCTTTTATTAGTTTTAAAAATAATCTTAAAAATATCTTAAGTCTATGCAATGGTGCAATCATTGAATTGCATTGGGTAATCGATTTTAGAGTTGCTTCTGGTTGTGTGGGTTGGAGGGTGG